TCCTTCCTTCCTTTGCATTTATCTTCTTTTATCTTTACTTTGTATTTTCTCTTTCCCAACTGTTTTGGAGAGAGAAGTAAGGAAGACAATCCAGTGTTTAATATTTGAATTAGGACTGCAAGATCAAAGTTCTGTATTTCTGCCACAAACACTTCAGTACATTTCAGGGCTTTTTGGAACTTGATCTTGCTTACATGAAATCAGAGGTCTTCCCACATATTTCAATGAAAGTAGTCCTGATCTTTTAATCTGCTTACTGTTAGCTACAGGATGGCAATAATACTACTTCTTTTCCCCACCTGAGCGGTGACTGTGAACGATTAAATGTTGGGATGAAAATCCATACATTTAAAAAAGAAGGTATTTAAAATTCAGTGACTTACAGCTTTACTAACTATATATCAAGACTCTGTCATAGGTAATGCAATAACAATGTAGCATATATCATGGCAATATTACAAGAATTTGCAGTACAGCACTATATTTTCAGTTGCAATGACATATTAATCTTTGCTGTCAAAATAACCATCTGATATAACCACTGAAAATTTATACAAGCTCCATAGGATATAAAATTCTTTTTCTATTTTTAACTTTTCACATCTGGAAGCCATTGTACCTATGGGGCAGGGATTATTGTCTTCCATGTAATTGTAATTGGTGTGAGTTAGACATACTTGAATAATCTTAAATATTTCATGTGGTAAGCAGCCCGGTAAACAGAAGTGAAATTATTAGACTGTAAACTGAGGTTTTATTTGTAGGAATAATAAAATCAAAAGAAAATTTGATTTTTGCAATTTGGCCCATTCTGTGTTTTTCACTAATTTCCTCATTTTTATTAAGAGCTTTCTTTTCTGCATTATAGAAAAGAAATGTCACATAACTTACTTGTGCAGACAAAATGCCTGTGCAGATGTGCTCGAGGTACTTAGTGATGCGTGTAAGATTCTGGCTTCCACATACAAATGTGTCATGTCTTCTGCAAATCTGCCTTTTGCAGTGAGAATGTATGGTAATGATAAAAGCAGCTAAGACTGCCGGTGCGCCAGTGATATAGCAGGATTGCCAGATGTCTCTGATGAGTTTTGGCAATGAAAATTTCTAATGTAGACATCTTTCAGAATTTTGGCCAAGGGCAAACCCTCATGTAATGGGTTAAGCTGTGAGAATGCAGATGGTAAACCATTCATTCTTGGATCCAAGTGATCAGCAGTGTAATACAGTGCTACATTCTTTGCATTCCTCCCCATATAAAAGCAATAAAAAACGCAAATCCACTGTATCCCAGTAGCATGGTATACTTTTATGTCCTCACTATTCTGCATGTTGAATCATTTCTCGTATGTTATCAACCAAGTGTCAGAAAGGTGAATTCCTTGCAGTATTCTCTCATATGACTGCTTTATTTATTTTACAGGTTATTTGTGAAATCCTAGCAATGTGCACACAAATGCAAACACAATCATCTTTTTCTTGTTGTTTTCTTCCTGGCTCATCCTCTGACTTGTGCCTAAATTGTAAAAGCTTTGGAAATGTTGGCATGAAATAAGTAATCTGTCACAGATTTACATGAAGCAAGACTCCTTCGGCCATCCTGGCTGTGCAGAAAGGCCTCACAGTGGGCGAAATAACAGCCCTCTTGGCTTCCTGAGACTGGTGTAAAACTAGGGTAAATGGCTGTATCATGACTTTTCCAGATTGTAACTAAGAGGACAGGACCAGAGGGAAGGAGGTGTTTGCATCAGGTGGATTGCTAAAGTGCATTTCAGTACTATTATTCTTCCTTACGTTACTCTTATTCCCTTATGGGAAGTGGAAATATAGCCATCATAAAATTGCCTCAACTTCTGTGACAGGTATATGCAGCAAATCAGGATAGTAGAGCTTTACACCCATTGCACACTAATAAGTAACTTCTCACGGGAGCCGACTTGCCAGTATTTCTTTCATCTTCTGTACTCACTGAAATTGATGCAGACCACAAGCAGAATGGATAGGGATAAAATGCTGACCGATAAACTCAGGAACAATATAACTTGTGATTGCTCTTTACTGTCTTGGCACTAGATGTGTTAATTTTGGATTGTTTCTGCCTATAATTGATTCGCATTTGTAACCCCCAACACCTAAATAGTATATGCTACTTACAGGGATTAAGAAGAACAATTTTTAGACAGTAGACCGTTTTAAGCCTCAGCATTATTGGCTGCTAAGGAAAACATTTATACCATAATGACTTGATAAGCACACTAAAGTACGACTCTCTAACTTCAGTGGCGGCACTGATAGCTACTGAATGTCAGTAAATTCAAAAATTAAAAAAAAAAAAAAGATTATGCTCCAAGATATTTTCAGCTTTAGAAACCAAGTCTTTTCAAATTTACTTTGATAAATGGTATTAGTATTTTTCTCCTGAAGATACTAAAAATGCAGAGTACCTAAAACTCACTAGGATAGCATATAACAAAATGTAATGAAGAATATTGAATAAAAATATTAGGAAAATAAAACTTTTTAAGGAGAACGCAAATACAAAAATATATTGTATTCACATCAGATGATTTCAAGTATTTTGCAAAGATGTTCCAATAGTATCAGAGAGATGGATAACGCAAGTATGTAGGTATCCATAATTAAAAAGAAACAAAAATTAATGTCTTGGCCTAGTTTTCTGGTGTGCAGTTTTAGAGGCCTGAAACTTGAGTTATAGATACTGAGTAGCTACAGCTTTGACATCAATGAGAATTGTGTCCATTGCATTATGGATAGAAATATAAAATGGTGCAGTTGAAAAATCAGTATCCAAAAATCAATGTCACTTTTGAGACTGTGTTTTCAAATTACAACGTGACAGTGGATAATGGAAAAAAATGGAAATTTCATTTCTGACTTCCACGCTCTAGATATTAGTGTTTGCTCATAAATTTAGGAAATATGAACAGGGCTGCCTGTGACAATATGCTGTCCTCTACATGCGTGTTTTTCTCAACTTCCTGCTTGTACATCAGCATGGGCACAAATGCAGGCACATGAATTTTATATTGAAACATTTAACTCAGTTACTTTTTGTGATGAATTATGCCTAAAAGTAACTAACATTACTTACCTTGTAGCTTAGATAACTCAGCAGCAGAGTTTCAAAGAGACTTATTAAAGCCACAGAAACCTTAAGTGATAAAATATGTGTATTAATATTGGCTTCTAAAGAATATATGACATTAAGCATTACAATGAAAAGTAAAAGATAATAAAAACCAGCTTTTCCATGCATTCTCTGAAACCATCTCAGCTAACAGCATTTAGCATGAAGCTGAAATATTGTTATTTTTCTGACTAAAGCACAGGCTGTGACTTGAGTCTCATTGCTCTTTTCCAAGTATAACACTCCAGAGAGCCTGCAGAGTGGCCTTTCCATGGTTTTTAGAGAGCTCCATACACAGTCTGCCAGATTGTTTCTCAAGTTTCAGTTGTCTGTTCCTAAAAGGTACTGAGATCTTTCCACGAGACAGAGAAAGAGAGAGAAGGAGGAAGCTGTAAATAATGGAAGCTAGTAAGCTCTTTATTTTTCTGTAAAGATGTTATGAATGTGTGGAAAAACAAACACTTCTTTTTTTTACTGTATATAATTCAGAAAGTTGAAAACAGCAAAAAATTATACAGATTAATCATTATTGATTTTAATATTTAAATGCAACTGAGCTCAACTTGTCAGCCTTCACTTAGTTTATATGTAGTTAGTGTATGTACTATGTAATTTAAAAATATTTAAATAGTCAAATATCAAAACAGTAAAAAATTTACTTAAAACTTTATACATATTAAATAACCACAAAACTTACTTAAATCCTTTGTAGAGCAAATATTTGTATTTTAATGTATATTGTAGGAATATTCTATCAAGAAGATGTACAAATTCAGCTGGAGCCTGAAGGTCAAACAAGCCTCAGGATTTCTAATTTTAAACTCATGCTCACTACTACTGAAAACTCAGAAAAGTGTACTATTTGCACTCACAATATCATTATCTAGAATTAAAAAAGATGCTATGAATTGGAAAATTATTAAAATATGCAATCAAAATATGATATCAGTTTTCAAATAAGTATTACTGTTTTATATAAACTCAGGTTGTATCTCAAATAAAAATAAATCTTTGTTTATAACTATTGTATATATCCTGTGAATGCATGTGTATATACATATGCATACACATAAATTCCTATGTTTATCAAATAAATTTATTAGAATAAGACTGTAACCATAAGCAAATAAAACTCAGTATTTTTTAATTAAATTGAATACAGTAATCTGAATGTCTAGGTCAAAATTTATTCAAACTGTGCATACTTTAAGCAAGGAATTTAAAGGTATTTTCATCAAGGGATTCTTCCCTTAGTAAAATCGTATATTACATAGAGGTGCAAACCATCGTAATGTCATTGCGCTAAGCATGGTGCAAGAATATAATGGTATAACCATTCTGGCAGCTTAAGGAATTCTTAGTAGAAAAACACATTCACAGGGAGAATTCCCACAGCACTGTCCACGAGTAAAAAAAGTGTTCCTACAACAAGCAGGCTCCAGGACACTGAGGATTGAACCACAAACTTCAAAAGATCTCCAAGACCCACAAAGCACTGATGTAGAGCATCTTTTGTGACATACTCCTCTAAACACGTAGGCTTCTATATTATGAAGTAACTTTAGCTTTCTAGTGTATTTAACAAGAAAGCCCATGAAGTATGTTAAAAGCTAGACATAAGCAATTATGAGCTTTAAACTCATCATTAGAGCAAACAGTGACTACTTGACTCAACAGAGCTTGATAATTCTAAGAGAAAAGGCTACCTAATTCTACAATATTTTTTATAAGCTTTAATACTTTATAAATATATTGTAAAGCTGTATCAATTCAAATCAGTTAGCTCAGATCAGCTTATCTCTATGCTTTTGTTGTACTTGGTCATCAAGTAGATCTCTTTGTTAATATCAACTTTTCCAAGTATCCTTTAACATCACTAAAATGCTATAAATCAATATTGTCTACAGTTATTAAATGGAAATAATTAAATTGGCCATTTATATATTACCTGTAATCCCCATAAAGGCAAGCTTCGATTCACCCAAATAATAGGAGACCTGTTCATTATAATAAGAAAATAAATATGAAATTAATCAAAATCTGGTTAGTGTTTTGAACAAAATCAAGAGAAAAAAAATTTGTACATGTGAATGGAAATTAGAGCAGCCTTATTTTTTAAAAAAATTCTCAGTAATAAAGATTTTAAATCAATAGTTATCTACTGAGTTTTGACATTGCTTGTATTTCTAATCCAGAGCCAATCATTGAGTTCCCATGGGAGTAGTCTAACACCCAGTGACACCAAAATCTTTTATTGGCTTCAGTGGCTGCTAGATCACCCCCTATGATTCCAGAAAGAATAAAACAATTTGAACTTTTGTTTCTAGAGATGCAGAGGAATAATTATTTGTGTAGGAAAAAGAAACCTGACAATTCTTTTGTGTGAACTTTTTGCTGTCTGTGTAACGATATAAATGGTATCGAACTCATAGGGGCTGTCATATCTTGGAAACATCTCATGTCATCTTACTATTTACTAAACCCAATGATAACAGGCACTTGATACAGTACTACTAGAAACTGGCACACTCAATGGCACAATAGTTTATGGTTAGTCATTTACAGCTAGTCATAATTGTTTTTTAAAAAAGGGCATCCTTTTTTTTTCAGCAAGGTATAAGCATTGATGGAATTCAGATCTTACAAGAGCATCCACTCCAGCAGTTCACTCATGCAATCAGAGAAACAATTAAAATATTAAAGGCAGTTTTGAATATTCGGGAACACAGAAGTAATTGCTTGAGAGTTACGGAAACATCACTATTATATGTTAAAATGTCACCATTCCTGATGGAAATGGATTTGTTTTCCTGTTTCCCTCCCCTTCCCACCATTATGTGGACTTTTGGTTTGCTTTTTTAAATTAGGAACTCACCAATCAATCGTTCCAGGTGTGTAGTTTTGATTGGAACAACTCCGGTTTAATTCCTTACTGATAGTTGTCATCCCATCCATGCAAAGTCCATTTTCATTAGCAATCGTATATGGGAACACAATCATAACAACATATGGGAGGAAAGGGATATTAATTACATTATTAAGTGTTCTATAAAATGCATGCAATAGTTTGAAACCCTAGGCAATGGATATAGACGTTTTAAAAAGTAAAATAACTTTTAGAAAGTAGTTCTGTATGTGTTCTGTGTCTGTAGATAAAGGACTATGAAGCATTTCAGGTTACATTTTTTAAAGATTTATTTTCAAACATGTTCCAATTTAAAAACAAAACAACTGAAATTATACTTTCAAAAGCTGAACTAAGTACACATTAAATATTGCAGATCAAGAGATACTAGAAATCCTATCCCATGGATAGGCTAGGATAGAAAGAGCATATATACATATACTTATACCTGCCATACTCTCAACAAGAAAGACTGCATCAAACTACACTTTATATCCTCTCGTGAGGATGTGAGGAGGGCTAGAGGTTCATGCAGCAGCAATTCAAGTAAGAAACTGGTGACATCTATGTAAAAAAATAGCTGTTATTTACACGTGATGTTATCTTGCCTTGAATGACTGGCACAAATGCTCCCTTCAAATGATCATATAAAGATGTGGGAATATATATTTGTGTAAATGATGAAAAATATCCTTGTTTGTCCTTGGCAAGCAAGGTTAGCAGAAAAGAAAAGGATTTGCAGACCACAGATTAGTAATAGCTGTATTTTTATCAACTATCAGTGGGACAGGTGCTAAATGGTATCCATTAATAAGGATGCTTTATGTCCTGTACACCTCTTGTTCCTGAAGGAGTAAACGAAAGATACTAACTTGTGCAGGCATTTCTGAAAAACAGGAAATAAATCTGCAGGGGGCGTCTGTGATGAAAAGCATTCCTCCCAGAACTGTCACTTTAAAAACAACCAGGTGATAATGTTTTCTATGGCCATGCTCTCAGCACACTGAGTAGTTTCTTTCATCAGGCTGTGACACAGTATCTAGAAAGGATTTTTTTTCCTAACACCGCATTTGTAAGAATGCATTATGGCAGTAGTTTAGGTATCAAGCCCTCAGGATCTCTATGTGCAAAACCATTGACATTAATGGGGTACCATTTGGGCACAGGGCTGGTTTGTCTGGCATAGCTTCTAAGACTGGGGTCTCAGTGAGCATGCAGAAGTGACTTATCTGAAACTTCTCAGCCTGACAAATGTTATACAGAGATACAACAAACTAACTAGTCTCTTAAGTGTATCACAACACAATATGAGGCAATAATATATATAGCAAAGAAAAATACACTCTTTGGCTGGTGAATTGTTAAACATTTCGTTTGAAGGAACAAACACGTCAGGAAAGGCCTGGGGAATTAAGCAGTCTGCGAGATGCAGAAAAATCTTTGCATATGAATAAAAAAGTATACCTGTGGCAGAAGTACTGATGTTGCAATCTGTTCTGCATACCCAGACATAACCTTGCAGTATAATACGCTCATTTGGGCTCACTGGAGTTCTCATAACAAAACAATATCAGCAGCTTCTTCGTGCCAGAAAGTATCATCAGCTGTAAAATTTCAAGCCCCTGAGTTGCTGTGCTACTATGCCTAAATTTCTAAGAATGGATTTTCTCTTCTCCATCACTGTTAAAGGTTTTGTGAAATCTTTACAGCTTGTTTCCTCCCTACGCATTTCCTTTCCTTGAAGAGACATTCTAAGATACACGTAGAGTCAAAAAATATTTTTTTGCAGTTCTTGCTTTTCCAGGGAAATTTTTTCTGGCCCTTTTTCAGATGTTCTAATGTCTTACAATACATTTTGACAAAAAAAAAAAAATTCTCAAATGCATCTTCTGTACTTCCCATTCACACATCCTTCTCTCATGCACTGCTGAGTAAAGCCGTATTCTTTAACTCACTTTGCTTTGGATTTGATTCTTGTAAAATATAATATTTCTCCTGTGCACTAATTTTTTTGTAGTATTGCCCTTATTAGATTTAACTTATTTTCAAACATTAAAATTAGAAGTCATACTTTGTCCGTTGCCTAACATTGTGTAAAGAGTGCTAGTTCTGTCATCCTAAGCTTAGTATTTTCATCTGTGCTTTGTTTCTTTCAGTATTTAAGGCCAACAGAATCAAATCAATTGAAAGCAAGTAAGTTAATAAAATGTGGTGCTTATTAGCATTTAGAATTGAGAAGATTCAATATATCCAGGATACAAATACAACTGAAGTACAGGATTGAATAAATTGTAAATATAATTTCTTCTACAATTGGTGGTTGACTGTATAACACATGAAAAGAAAAAAAGGAGAGTACCCAATGATCCATCTAGAATACCATACGGACAATTATAGGGGTGCAAAATCACGCATTATGACCATAGATCATCATGAGTATAGAATGTACTTTTGGTCTCCCTCTCTTCTAGGTGTTTAGAGAAAGCAGAGGACTAGAAAATTATCATCAATGTCATCTGCATGAAAGCTCGGTTTCATGTATTTGTCTGTTTGTTTCTGGGATCTGGGGTTTTAAGTAAAATTATTTAAGTAAAATCCTAAAATTATTGTTGCATAAACTAGCAACCAGATATTTGCCATTTTTTTATAAATATAAACATAAATATGATATATAGAAATGTTATGTAATAATACAACCAAAAGATATAAGTTTGCACAACTATATCTGACGCACAGTATCTGAGCAAATAGCCAGGATTATTTTAGCGGTGAAGTGAAAGAAGAATATTGTTATTTTTATTCTTATTTCCATTCACAATGTGAGACTAGCTTTGTAATTCTTTCAAAACATCTGTAAGACGTAAAACCAAATCCCTGTTGACAGAATATCAAATATTTATTCATTAAATGTACTTTTTTCTTATAAGTTAAACAATGCTTTGAGAACAGAAATAACAAAAAAACCCACATTACCATCCAAGTCCTTGTGTAGGATCATCCAGGAGCACACGAATTATGTAGAAGAAACAGCTTAGTAGCTTGAGAGAAAAATTGAATAATCGTATTCTCAGACCTATTTTAGAAAGAAAAGAAAACACAGAAATAAATTCAGGTTCTTTACAGTTTCATCCACTTTTAAGGTAAAACTAAAAGGAACTAGAATAGCCATGCTGCAACAGAGCAAAGGTCGATCTAGCCAGTAACCTGTCCCCGATATGGGCGATTGGCATATCATACAGAAGAACGTAAGAATAAGCCTGTCAGATACACACATAATACACCTTTCCAGCTTCCAGAAATCTCTGGGTTAAGACTCAGAGATTTCTGTTGTCTGTTTTAATGTAAAGACATACTCAGTCATTTGTCTGAAAGCTATTCTATGCCATTTGTCTTTCCTGATGCCGTTCTTTGGGTCTTTTGTAGTTTTACAAGTCCACTTTCTTGAAAGGAGAACCAGAACTACATATGGTATTTGAGATGCAAGATACAGTGTCATGAAGAAGACTTTTTTTTTTAACCATTGGCAGAGGATATACAATGGCAAGTATTTAAATATTAATATCTCAAGGTCTTCATGCAGTAGCTTCTCATACAGAATATATTAATACTATCCCAACTTATAAAATACTAAATTGTAGTTCTTTAACATTGAAGTTGCATAATTATGCATCCAAGAATCGGGACACCTGAAAGTCATGCTGAATGCACAACTGAACTAAATCAACAACTTGTTCTACAGACCATGTGAATATTGAAATGTTCTAACTAAAAAGATATATCACAAATACTATCACAAAATATTACAGTATTTCCCACAAACATAGGTCTACTGCACAAAGACAGGATCCCTTCAAAGCGATCCATATGTATACTTGCCTCTTCACATGGGCAATTTATTTCAGTGCTAATTGGAGCCATTATCTACTACAGTGGAACTTAACTGTATTTTAATCAGATTTTGCACTCATTAGAGGATTAGAGTTTAAATTCTCGGTCTTGTTTTTAAATTCAATAGTCTTAAAATTTTGCCAGTGTAAATATTTGTATCTAACTCTTGGTTTTAAGTTTTCATTCACTAATTAAGTTAAAACTGTCAGTTGACTAAGGTTAAGTGGGGAGAGGTCACTTTAAGGATTAATTTTTTTCAGGCTTGTGAACCGAGAGTCCAATTCTGCATGGCTGAACCCTTCCGTCTGAAGCAGAGTACCACTGACAGAGTCTTACACAGACGTGACTTCATCTGCACCTAGTCATAGTAAAGACAGTATCTTTTACTGTTGTGTTGTGTTGCATTGCAAATATGTTAGCAGGTCTGCTGAACTCAGTATAATTACTTCTGTGGTTTAAGAACTACAGCTTCGTTATGCATACCTAAAGCTGTGTGCATACATTCCCTTTTAAGGAAAGAATCGTGATTATCTTATGGTAATATTACATACTTTTTGACTTTACTCAGTCCTAAGTTCAAAATGAACATCTTACAGATAAAACTGATATATCACTTTTTATACCTACTTATTCCCCTCTCATTAAAATGCAATCTACAGCAAACACAGAAAAACAGAAAATAGATTCTTAAATATTCTACCATGCAATTGCTGAAAGAAATCTTAAGGTTTATTACACAACACTGCTTACTACTTTTAACTGTGAAGTTGCAGTTATCACATGAGAACTGGATGGACTTTTACAGCATCTTGTCATCTGTAAACTAGGGGTTAAAATCCTGTGGTCCCAACCATGAGAAGTCCCACAGCTGTTATTGGCTATTAGGTTTGTGAACATTAACCTAGTGATTCATGCTGTCCTATCAAGAGTGATTAGCCACAGACTAGTTATTCCCCAACATGACTGAAGGGGTTGAAGTAGTAAATAGATTGAGAGGCTGTAGAAGGTAGGTAGGTAAGTAAGTGTGTTGTCATGCTATTATTTGTCTAGGAAGAATGCCAGTACTTTTCTTGGACAATGCTATGATCTTTTTTTGCAACTTTTTTGAACTGTTGCTGAAGAAAACATGAATTGTTTGTCTGTACTAACCGTTTTGTGGAAGCCTGCTGGAGTATGAATGGTTGCCATAACAACTAGGCTATTACAAAAAGAAGAACAGATAATGTTAAAAAAACAAAAACAAAACCAAAAAACCCCCCAAACCACCTAACTCCAAACAAACAAAAGCAGCCCACCGGGGTTTCTTTTCCTTACCAATTTTGTGTTGTCTAAATTTCTTAGATAAGTACAGAAGTCTATTGTTTGTTTCTTCTGTTTTTTAGCTCTGTAAATGTTAATCTTGGTGCGAAACACTTCTTTTCTGCATTGATAATGGCCTGGTTTCTAATCATCATTTGAAATGATATGTTGGTGTAAACGCAAAAAAAAAAAAAAGGTGCTTTTCTGATTAAAAACTACATCAATACAAGGGACCCATGCTCCTGCTGCTGCCTTAAACTCTTAACTCTCAAATCTTAGTCCTGAAAGATTTAGAACTACTTAAGTATTCAAATATTTAAGTTCCATAGATCTATTCCAGGCTATGCCTAAAAGTGCTTCAGGCTCTGGATATCTCTACAGGAACGGCTGTTTCCCACAGAATATAAGGCAGGGTTTTCACACCAGACATGCTTTCATCTATGGGTTCTAGTTAGCATAGATATAGAGTGCATATCATGGACTTTTTATGCATAAAGTAAGGCAAGAGAATAGGTCTTGTACCGTATGTGATTGGGTCAGTTATTACAATATAAACATGGAAAAATAGACTTCAAGTCTATCCTGCTTCAGGTCACCTCTCCTAGTTCTGTATGCCTCAGCCTTTACAAATAGGATGTGCTGTCAGAGGGAGAATATTTAGTCACCCCTGCTAAAGCTTTAATAATTAATGTAGGAATACCAAATAAGTATTCTCTCTGGTCAAAATCTTCTGTAGCCTCATAGTTGGGGATGTCACCTGTGAGCTGGAAGAAATGCATTTATTTCACTATCATGGAGATCTAGGATTTCAAATATGGGAAGGAGGGGACAGTCACTAGAGAAGGTATTTAAAATAGGTTTTCATTGATTACTCTGTTACAAAGAAAGCATTTCTTATTTCTGTTTGCTGACTATTTTTGTCCTCTATTTTACAAGCTGTCAGTGGATCAACATGGTCTGCTTGACTTAATTTCTTTTTTTCCATTCACAGCCAGATTGTTCAAGTAGCAGGGTCATCTGCACAGAATATCTTTTGACACCAGTGTCTGAAGCTTGTATTCAGCTACATCAATCATATACTGTTATCCAGTTATGTATTGTTCAATGAGACTGTAATTTCACTGTGTCCATGCAACCATGGTCTTACATCCTTTGTCTTCTTTAAAAGAAGATACTAACAGTTCAAAATCTGTTTGTTTTGTGAAATAAATATAACTATGTCAAATGTTAATGTTTCCTTCCCAGTTTGAACAAGCATTTGCTATTTTTTGCAGGCATTTTTAAGTACAGAGTGATAAACTGTATTTCCCCAGTAATGACTGTGACTTTCATTTTTATTATAAATTCTTGATGCTTCCCTTACAAGTATTTTGGGAGATTAATCCTCTGGTTTAGAGAGCTGATCTAAATCAAAGCGAGAGTGACAGAGATAGCAGCTGAAGATTTTATGATCAACTTCCATTATTCCTTTCTCATAAGTCTCTAACATATTTTTGTTTTTTAGCAAAATCATCTCAGTAGCAGTTGGATTTAGGAGCTGGATCAAAATATACTGTTAATAATTTATATCCTGTTGATGGTTATCTTTTATTCCCTCTCCACTGAATTAAAACTTCACATATTTTTTCCCTTTGAGACTTATTTTAGGCTGTGATAATGCAGTGTGTGATCTTGGCAAGTACAAGCAAGTCATACCAATATGTCATCTTTTCCTCTTTTCTTTTTTTGGTGTGGGGTTGGTTTTTTTTTTGGCTGGCTGGCTGACACCTTTGTAAAATGCTTTTCATGCATTGGTTGAACTTGATCAGACGTTTGCTTGCAGAAGATTGAGTGGAAGCTAGGTTGACATTAGACATAGATGAAGGCTTGTTTTATCAGTTTATAGAAATACTTCCAAAACCAGAACAATGAATGAAACAGTTGATATGTCATGCTATCGGTCTGTATGTGATTTAGATCAGAATAGTATTCTGTAGAAAATTCATATAAATTCTAGAGTTGACTGCTCTGGTTGACAAAACCACATGATACTACACTCTGATGTGTTAAATTCACTTATGAAGTCTTAAGGATTAGCAAAAACTGTTTGGTGAACATGTGTGGTTTGATTTAGTTATACTATCTGAAAATTTGCTGATACTGCTGACAATTATTTTCTCAGTGATAGCAATTACATCTTTAGTACACAAAGGAAGGTTTTCAGTGCTCTCACTGAACACTGACTAAGATCTAAAGGGCAGTATCTTTATTTATCAACTCCCTGATATTTCTGAGCAACAGAATCCTCCAGTTTCAATGGAGGACTGAAGGAGTACGCTCGAATGAGTGGCAGGTACTGTCTCAGCAGCAGGCTTTTGGAGATTGTATTTTAGAGGATTCTCGTTGTGAGTATTTGGACAAGAACCAAGATCTGCATAAGCAGAAGGAGTGTTTGACTGAACTTACTAATTCTGAACACTTTGGTTTAGGGATTTTCTTTTTTTCATTCACTACAGTAATAATTTTGCTGCATTTCCTGTTTGTTTCTCCTGAAATTTGCCTTGTTTAATGTATAATTGTTCATTAAGCTTCTTGGTTCATGAGAACCAGTAGCAGTGCTTGGGTAACCTGTGGGATTCTAGTGGGAAATGGCATGCCCATGCCATATGCTGCTCTAAGTACAGTAAGCACCCTCATTCTCCAACTTACTTTCCGTGAACTGGCTGCGTAATTCAACAATAGAAAAAACATGCCTCATCTCTTAGAGTTTTCTTCGGAGTCCTCTCCTGAGGACCTGTCAGGAAAAGAAGGTGCCCATAATGACAGTGTCTCTACTAGCTATCTACAGGAAGAACTCATTAGTGTGTTTTCATTTGTTAATCAAAAATACAGCATGCTTCTACAAAATGTACCTCAGCTCTGTATGGTATCACTGTGTAGGAAAATTCATCAGAATCTGGATTTTTCCAGCAACCATCAAGCAAGCCAAGCAGGAAAATTCTTGTGCTACTTGTCTGTAGCATGAATCCATCTCCAGTAGGATGAATTAACAGTTGCTTCCCACTCTCTTGCTTATTTCAAATAAACTTCCATATCATTCCTCGCCTCTGGATGCATACATCACACTTACCCAATCATAACCTAATAGAGATGTCCCAGTATAGTAACTTACGACAATTCTCTTAATGTGCTTAGCTAGAAGGGTATGCACTTGGCAAAGTAATGGCCATGAATTCATACTAATTAACTAACTTCTGGTTTAGTTTTTGTGCTGATGATTTCCTAGACATAAGGTCATGACTTGCCCATGAGCATTGCAATGTCAGATCCATGCAAATTAGCTAACTTGATCACGATACAGAAATAAAATCACGTCACTAAGTATTTGATCCTACAAAATAAGTATGTTGTTTTTAAGTTTAAATAATACTTTCTGAATTTGTTTTGGATATTATGTAAAACTGACTCCTCTACAGGGTGAAATTTTAGCTCAGAAGAAAATTAATGATAACTTTGCCGTTGCCTTCAATGGAATTGGATTCTACTCAAAGTATCACAATTATGCTTAACAGAAATTAATCCAACTGCTTACTTGATCTTTGGTTTTTGATGAAGAAGAGCTTTAGTCTCTCTTTAAATGTATTTTCATTCATATAGAATTCAACTTGCACCCTGAAATATAAAAGGAAGTATTAGAATTTAATATGAAAGATAAAACATGATTTTTTCAAAATAATTTGTTCCCTAATCATCTGTTCTTTCTATATAACTGGAGGAACATATAGTGAGTGTTCAGCCAAAAGCTCACTTGGATTTGAATTATTAATGTTAAAAGATTAAAAATCAAAACAATAAACCCCGCAACAAACCAAAAAACTTACTTAGTTTATCCCCCTTACATGCAGAATCATTTTCATACTACTTGGACACGCTACACTGCAAAATCAGAAGCATCTACGGTTTTGGTATTTTCATTGGAAGACTATTCTCCTATCTGCATCTTGGTAAGGAAGATTTCCTTGATGTTCAGGTTAAACCTTCCATCTCAGTTTAACTCCCTTCCTGCAAAATTGATATTTTAATGATTCTTCTTTTTTCTATCTTGTTTGTATCTCTCTTAAGCATTCACATCTCAGTTAAGCATTCACTTGTTTGTGTTCACCTTTAATCAAATGCTCATGCACTAAACAAACCACCCTCTCGGAACTTCGCTTTTGTCACAATGAAATACTGAGACCGGAAAGCAAAATTATACTGCGATCATACAATATTGTACAGAAAGTAACTCCCCTTCCTGATTATATTAAAGCAACAGTAACATCTTTTTTCCTCCCTTCCCCTCAAATTTGCCAGGATTTCATGTTTCTGTCCCTCAATTCAGTCCAACTCATGCAATAGTTCTACAGACCAGAAGAGAAAAGAAAACTCTTGCAGGGGCTGGCAAGGGGAAAAGAAGGTGTGCATTGGTTGCATAGAAAAACTTAGGCCACTCCAGAGTTGTGGAGCTGTAGGCTGAGTGCAGCATTAGTTCCATATCCACTGAACTCCCTGCTCTACCCAACTGACTGGATCTCCCTCACCAATCCCAGTTCTCCTCCAGCAATGAATCACTTTACCCAGCAGAATTTCTGTGCCTTCTTGAGAAGTCAGTTCTCAGTTTAAGAACTGTTCTACAATTGCTAAGGAATAAAGTGATATCACAAAAGTGAGTTACTTCCTTACTTCTCACTTTCTCTGTACACTGTCATGTGTTGCAATCGCATATATCTTTTCTGTTCATAGGCATACTTGATCTTTATTTGGGCATTTCTTTTCAGTGGTCTTTCATCAAATGACTGTATTTCAATTACTTGTTCTTTTATGTACTGTCATGTTTTTCAAGCAGGATCCTGACTTTAGTTTTTCCCTTCTTGCAAGTAAAGCCTTTGCTGAAACAATTTTTGTATACTCTGATGTTATCTATAGTCTCTCTATTTCCCTCAAATACTTGTCTAATACCATATATTTCTGTACACTTAGGGAATTGGAAGATTACTTAGTTATGGGCCCAGAATGGATGCCATCTCAGGTAATGTGACTTTTTCACGTTTGTGTACCTATTACCAGAAGTTTAGGCATATCACTTTGTAGGACAAGGTCAGCACGTCATAAAAAGAATGCTCTCTATGACTCACTTAGTGAGGTCAGTTAATTTTACATAGTCACTTAGCTTTGGTGTGATTTATCATAGTATTCCTTGTAGAATGGAGAATTACACTGCTTCCTATTCAGAGGAAGCAAAAACATAACCTTATTTTTAAGAAACTCTATTGGAACTAAGCTCTATAACTCACAGAATTTTGAATTTATTTCTGTGCAATGACGTTTGACACAGCGGTAAGAGCAACCCTAGACCAGCTTTTCTGCCCCATCCAGCTCTACCCCTTCTGTGGTAAGATCTTTAAGCAGTTGGAATTAAAGAGGAAGAATCCACCTGCCCTCTGCTTTTTAAACTAAGAGTAGCTGCAACTGCATATTTCAAAGAGCTTGGGCCCAGACATATGTCCTAGAAACTGCCACCAAACTAGAGGATAACCCATCAGATGAAGAGCAACTTGGTTCTGGCTTTTATTGAGCTTAAATATAGACTAAGCGTTGTGCTGTTCAAGACTGCAGGAGTCATTGCCACTAACGGAAGTACAATTTAGATAGTTGGTAACATTAAGGCAAATTAAGGAAGCATGTCCAGGGGTTAATTAGTAGGTGAGCAGGTTTGTGGGGGCCTGAGCTCTGCTTCAGTTCTTTTCTGCACATTTCCCAAGGTACTTACTGTCATTAATGCAGTGACAGTTTTAGTGGGAAACATTTCCCTTGATTTGGCAGCTGCCACATGCCAAGTGTATATACTTAATCTTCAAGGACATATTTCAGTAGGTAAACAAAGTGGCACAAGCTATTGAAGTAAGGGATGTTATTTAAAAGGAGCACGGTATTGGTGATCTTTTTTACACATTTTAAACTAATCTCTCAGGTTTTTCAGTAAGACGATTACAATAGTCGCTTACCATGAAAGAACAACATGTTAACAGTAACCATGATTTAATGGTAATGAGGAAAGAGGATGTGGGAGCTAATCACCCTCCTATGACTACCACTATGAATTGCTCTGATAGCCTTCTAACAGCTGTCTACTCTTTCCTTAGCAACCTGTGCTCACAGCAGACTGGGATTCCACAGTGCAGCAGTTTCCACGGCAAAACGGATTATGAATGCTGCTAACACCACTTCTGTGGCTCAACTCTTCCTTCTCCTTCCCCTGACTTTTCTAAACTTAAGTAAACACTATATTGGCTTTCTATGTTTGCAGGAAATACATTATTATGCAGCTATAATCAATGTACACTTTCACGGTACTCTGGCTACCAGACAGAGAATATTTCACTTTATTTCTTAAAGGTTACTATTTATTAAGTAAAGCTAGGAATGAATGGCTGAAGGAGCCACTGGCAGGGATAAGGACAGAAACCTCCAGATACTGTTCCTTCCCAATAGTCTGCTTTTTATTTTCAGGGAGAACACTCATTCTACTTGATCCTTTGTTGTAATCTTTTAATGATTAAAATTTTACCTCAAGTATTTGCTCTTTTCTGTCTTTTTCCCACTATGAAGTGTAACGTAGAAAAGGAGTATTTCGGGAATGTAACACAAATAAATTCTGATCCTCGCTTGCAATATTAAGATCATTTAGTAGTAGTAGTAGTAGTAGTAGTAAAAGACTTGAACAAGCTTTTTCCGCACTTAATTAAGTACAAGTTAGTAAGGATGTTTCAAGTGAGTGAGTGAAATTCATTGCCACATACTTATATAAAACTTGATTATTCTGTTGCAGGATGAATACTTGTTGGTATTTGATTCCAAGCAAAAGGTTCTGATGAAATGGCACACATGCAGTACAGGGTGACAGTATATGTGTACGCACATCATCTGGCCTATGGAATAGATTTGATTTTGTTCTATATTTCTAGTGTAAGTAATTTAAAAGTGTAGTTTAAACAATTTGTGCTTCATGTTTTTTATCTTCCTGTAAAAGACAGTTGTAGTTCAGTTGTTTTGTAGTTGTTTTGTAGTTGTTTTGTAGACCAAAAGGAAATCAGGCTGAAGGATTAAAACACTATTCCTTGAGGATGGTTACTGGGACAAAAATGATGAACATAAGGATTTTGTGTATGCAGTCAGTTAATTGCTTCTGACTTTTTCTGTGTATGTGGTAGGCATTGAATATTCCATGAAAAGCTGCTTTTGGAAGTTAAAGAACAGGTCTTATGCTTTACTGACTCTTGTTTCAGCTTTATTGAAAACGCACAAATATGTGGCTGATATATACCTGTGGCAAAAGCAACTGAAGTTACATGATTCTCTTGAGAACACAGTGTGTTTTTTTTAACCTTTTTAAAATTAAATACTATTAATAGTGGTCTTCCCTGGTTTAAGCCCAAAGAATAATGATGTCAGTGAAATCTTCCAAACTGTAAGAAGCATCTTGAAGTACCCAAAGTACAAGTATACATTGCACTCTTCTAATTCAGTCAAGATGTAATTTGAGTAGTACATTTTAATGTAATACAAAGTATAGCAGGAAAATACTAATTCATGCCAAGGACACTAATGCAAAGCACTTCTCGTGACTGCAAATCACTGGGACCAATCTGTCTGCACTCTGGTTACTTAACTAATTTTGTCTGCATTTTTCCATTGCTATTTACGATGTCATTCTAACTCCATAGCCACGCTTTACTATAGTAACAATATTACTTTGCACCCTCAAATCTACAAATTGGCTTTCTTTTGTATTAGAAAATAGCAGATTTGGCAGAAAGAAACCCTTCAAAAATGAAAGTATGAGTTGGACTTCTCACTACACATGTGCTAAGAGCTGTAAATGTTTATGCTTACTACTTCTTGACATTGGAATCAAGAAAAGGTGTTAACTGTGCAAATGGAGCCAATCTGAAGAAAACGACATCAATTTATTTAAAAACATCTTTATGGGAAGAGCCTTGTAACATAGACACAATATGCTTTTTACTGGGATTTGCCAATCCAATATATGTGAAATCCCGTTAGATTTCAAACCTGAGAGTTTATTATGTAGGGTGTAGATGGGTACTTAAAAATTAAGCATTTGAAGTGCTAAAGTGAACTGTTATTGCCAGAGCTTATTTTGCTGCAAAAAAAAAAGGAAATGGGCATTTTTTTTTCTTATAGCTTCCAATAAAAAATTAGTCTATTTTAATGATGACTGTCTTGGGTAGCAGCTCTCTTGTTTCTGAAGTTTTGCAAGTTCTGAAATACTCAGAACTCTGATTTGTTTAGGGCTTCACTGAGAAATGGTAATTTGACGTTCCAGGACTATTTCTTCCATCAGAATCAATATCGAATCATAGAATAGTTTGGGTTCGAAGAGACCTTTAAAGGTCAGCTAGTCCAACCCCCCTGCCGTGGGCAGGGACATCTTCAACTAGATCAGGTTGCTCAGAGCCCCGTCCAACCTGACCTGGGATGTTTCCAGGGATGGGGCATCCACCACCTCTCTGGGCAACCTGGGCCAGCGTTTCACCACCCTCAGCGTAAAACATTTTTTCCTTAAATCTAGTCTAAATCTACCCCCCTTTAGTTTAAAGCCATTCCCC